CTTTGTTATATTAGTTGTATATCAAACTAAACATTCTAAACAACTAAGTACTAATGGCTTGATATCTACAGAAAAGGTATCATTTGATATTAAATTGAAAATTTGAATATATACATTGTTCCTACCTCTGTCTTAAGTTTTGGCATTGTTTCTATTGTTACTTATTCCAAAGACCCCCTCCCAGTTTTTCCTCTCTTCAGTCTTTTGGAAAAGCTGTATTATGCTTGCCATTTCATATTTTCTTATGGTTTTAGTTTCGATGACAGATCCTGTGGTTTGAATTAAATTGTATTGCAGTTTTTTATGCATTTTAATTAACAATTTACCATCAATATATATCTTTGTTTTTAAATATATCCTTTCGAGATTCAACCAGATTTATCAAAAAATGTTTGAAGAGCTGTAAAATTAGGAAACTTACTAGCCTTCAACAGTTTAATTTGAGTAAGTCAAGATTAGGTAAGCCTTACTCAGTTTTATAGCGTGCAACAGAAGTACGTCTCAAGTAAACCCGACTCAGCTGGGGTTTAAACCCGGCTTACGTGATCCGCGGATCAGCGGCTGAGCTGTACTTATCTGAGCCATAGGTACGCAACCGGCCATCTGAGTATCAAATAATCAATAATTTTTATAAAGAGGTTGGTAAATCTTTTTCGAAGATTTCTTATTGAGAGAAACAGAAGCAAGCATGGAGTTTGAAAGCTTTCTAAACGTGAACTTAACGACGATCTCTGAATTTATCCTAGATCAATGCGACATTAAGTATAATAAAATAAATAGTGCATGTTTTGAGGTTAACAGTTGAAATTAACACCCCAAAGAAAAACCATTGTCAACCGACGCATCACCATTTTGTCAATGGTTTTTCGAGAGATGTCATTTTATATACTGTTCTTATATATTCCTATGTAAAAAAATTGATCGCCAATTGTGGCCAAATCCTTCTCCTGGGGTCATGATTTGAACAAACTTGAATCATCACTATCTGAGGATGCTTCCACATCAATATGACTTATCATAGCTTTGCTGTTCTTGAAAAGAAGATTTCTATTGATTTTTCCTTTATATTCGTAAAAAATTGATTGCCCATTGGAGCCCCACCCTATCCCCGGGGGCCATGATTTGAACACATTTGAATCTGCTCTACATGAGGATGCTTCCATATAAATATGAATGATCATGACTTCGCTGTTCTTGAGAAGAGGATCTCGCATTCATTTTTTCTGGCCCAGTGATTTTTGAGATTTTTAAAAATGCTATTAAATTTTCAATTTTTAATTATCTCCCCTTGAAAGAGGATTTACCCTTTATTTGAATAAACTAGAGTTCCCTTCACACAAGGATGCTTTGTGGCAAGTGTGGTTAAAATTGGCTCAGTGGTTCTTGAGAACAGGTCAAATATGTGAAAAGTTTACAGAGGACATATTTTACACGACAGACTGACGCCTGACATCCTTTGATAGATAAGCTCACTTGATGCCATGCTCAAGTGAACTAAGAATACCTGTTATTCTGACTTTAGTAAAAGTTTTTAAATAACTTTCAGACTTTTATTTTTGTGAATAATACTTAACACAATTTTAATTTTTCATATAGCAATTATGTTTTTAAAATTACCTAGCTCATTAGTATCGTTTTGATATATTTTTCATAAAATCACCATGGGGTTATGCTTTGCATGATGCAAGGATAGCTCTCGTTTCCGACAGTCCTTGCCTATGATAGTTTATTTTGTACATGTAGACATTATCTTTATACTTTTGTGGATAATCGATGAGCTCATTTAAAAATATTTTGTCAAAAGATATTATAATATTGCGCATGAGAGGGCCACCCGGAATCAAACATATATAGCATTCATTTCACCAGATAAGTAAGCATGTTTAATCATAACCATTCAGCTTAAATTATATATTTGTGAATGGTCATCAACAAAATTACTTTGATATATATATATATATATATATATATATATATATATATATATATATATATATATATATATATATATATATATATATATATATATATATATATATATATACATGTACATGTACATGTGTATATATATCATTCTGATTCTACACACAAGTACTCTGAAGTTGATATTAAAAGGATGCTGGAGCTCCTCATTGACATTTATGTACATGTAGTCTTCGGAGACCAGGTCATCCAACAAACTGTTCGAATTTTGATGGGTACTAATTGTGCTCCTTTATAAACCTACCTGTTTTTATATTTCTATGAACTAGTATGGAGCAGAATAATTTATTCAACAACTTTACATGAGAAGCAGAAAACACTTGCTGTGGCCTTCAACTCGACATTTAGATATATCGACGACGTATTTTCAATTTACAATAGTTACTTCCATTCATATGTAGATTCGATATTTCCCAGGGAACTTGAAATAAAAGACACCACAGAGTCTGCCACATCTGTTTCAAATGGATGTTTTACTGACTACAGACGATAAGGGCCAACTAAAAACTAAATTGTATGGCAACTGAGCTTTTTCATCGTCAGCTTTCCTTATTTATGTAGTAATATCGCGCTATCATCCGCATATGGTGTTTTCATCTCCCAACTTATTCGATACTCAAGAGCATGCCCCGAGTACGATCAATTTTTGTACCGAGGGAGGCTACTGACAGATAAGTTGGTGTTACAAGGATTTCAATAACCTCGTTTAAAGTCAGCATTTCGTAAATTCAGTGGTTGTTATAATGACCTTGTTAGCACATATAACCTATGGCTGGATCGTATTTCGGCTGACATGTGTCATACTAATTGTTAGGCCTTTGTTTTTTTTATATACTGAATTTGACTACAGAATATTTTGTCTACCTGATCAATACATAGGGCTCACAGTGAGTTTGACCGGTCAACAGGGGATGCTAACTGCTCCTAGGCGTCTGATCCCACCTCTGACATTCCAGGGATCTGTGTTCTATGCCCTTTTCACAGACTTGTATCCTTTATAGATTTTTGGGAGATGGATCTCTGTTCGTTATTTCACCTTTCTCACATGGTGACAATATGTGCCTAACATCGCTGCACATACAATGTATTGTCGTCCCATAATAAGGGTTGCTTACGGATTTTGTTGTCTCGTAGGCCATTTCATGCAGCGATTGTGAAGGTAAATATTGTCGTCCTGTATATATTGTCGCCGGCGACAACGTGTACGGGTACCTACCCTCATTGCAAATATTGACGTCCATCAGTACATATTGTCGCAGACTGCAAAATTATACACGTACATATTGCGCTGACGACAGTATGTCTACTCTCACTGCATATAGTGTTGTTCCATTATTAGAGTTACAGTAATATGAATGGTGGTGGTGATGATGATATCGAAATTTATATATTCAATTTTCATGAGTTCGCTTATTTGACATTTTTTCAACTCCAGAGAAGCAGCGGCAGTGAACACTACACTTAATAAACACGTGTATAAGTAATACTGTGGAGAGGATAATAGTGCAAATAACTTGATAATATAAATTCATTTAAAAAAAGACCAGGATTCTCTCTCTCTCTCTCTCTCTGAAACTTCAAACACCTGCTATCTGTTACAAAATAACTTTCATCACTTTCGGCTCAGTTATATCCAGTGCATTAATAAATTTTAAAGTAGGACTGAAGAGGCGCATAAACAATATATATATTACTTCTATAGCAACAGAATATCTACTCCTTACAAATAAAAATTTTACATGCAGATGAAAAATTATAGAATCCAAATGGAAAATTTTACAATACAAATGGAAAATTAAACAATACGAATGGAAAATTATACAATACAAATTGAAAAAAAGAATATTGCAATGTTTGGCATTCCATACTCCGTGGTGTTTTTCTTGTACATGACAACGCCGCTGCAAGTAAGATTGAAGATGTCCGGGGAATTTGAAAAAAGAAATTGCTCCATTGCTTAGCTATCCTCTGTATTCGCCAGATCTTCCTCCGTGTGAATTATTATAATACCCAAAAACTCGAAAGAAGAATCATCACAAGAAGACACCGTGTATATATTCAGGTGAGAGCCACCAGTGTCTCGTGAGTATAAAAGTTGAGAAATCTATTAAAGAACATTTCGGCAGATTTAAAATACATGTTAAAAAAAACTGCTTTTCGTGTTTATGAGGACATTTTGATTTATTTACTGAATTCTCTCACAGTGTTTTGGGACATACAGCGTACCTCAGGACTCGAAAATTTAGGGTGTACTTATTTTAAGGTAATTTTTTTTACGGGCAAAAATGACCCTACGGTCGTTTTTTCTTAGTTGAATAATTACTGGGGGCCATTTATTCAACGTTGAAAAACGACCCTAGTTATAATTCTTTGGGTTTTTATGTAACTTTACAGGGGCAATGATTTTTAAGTATGAATAAGAAGTCAGAAAATATTGTAACTGTTTTCAACATATACATGTAGTATGTTTAAAAATCAGATGAATTCCTTTGGTACACTATTGCTACAGAAGTATATAGAAACATCATTTTGAATTTTTACACAATTTTTTAATATAAAAGATAATTTTAAAAAAGTCGACATTTGAAATGAAATATATATCAATAATTCTGAAAAATACATAAAATCACATTCCATTTTATCACAATTTATCATATAAGATTTCTATTCAGGTTGTAATGTAATTCCAAACAAACTTAATAGTATCACTCATGATAAGATACAAAGAATTTTTTTTTACATAGAAAAAAATGAAATGATGTGCATGTAATTATATTATAATGGTAAAGAGTCCATCTGGCAATCGCAGATCCACATAAAAAAAGATGATGCATGTACGTACTAAAAATGTGAATAAAATCAAACAAGAAGCGCTCTCTCTCTCTCTACATATATATACATGTATATAAAGCATGGAAATTATAAATCTGTAAATCTATATTGTTAACTTTTCAAATCAATGTTGTATTTAATTAATTGAAATAATCACTGAACGAGCTTTATGAAAATTTGCAGTGTTTCAGGTCATCTTTTTTTACCCTGTCTCTTAAGAAGAGTTAATTTTTGACTGTCGCCATCCACTACACAGTCCAATGTTATGTAGTGTCTTATCAGTTCTCTCCAAACAAGGTCACATTGAAGCAGCTTCTTGTTTCCTGCAATTTGTAAATCATAAATATCAGACCAAAGGACAACAAAACTAGCTTAACTTATATTTTCCTTCTTAACAAATAAATAACTCAATAAAAACCATATTGTACCACTAAACTTAGGGATGTTCGTTTTTCAGACAGGAACAATACTTTCTGAAATTATCATTTGTTAGAATAGTTCGCAAAATGAAGATTGAAATTAATTTGCTTTCGTGCACAAATTTCGAGGTCTTCGAAATAGTATTGTAATTTGTTGATATATTGCTCCTGATAAAAGGAGAAAATGAAATTTTTATATAAATCAAATTTCATTTAAACTTGCTTATTAGCATGAAACTAAATAGACATACAGTCATATGTGATAACTTGCAATGGTATCACATGCTACTTACAAAACATATTATATATGATTTAAAGTTAATAGAAGAAGTTTAAGGTCAAGATCTAGTAAATGACTTTAGACTAACTTTTTGGTGCTAGATCCATTATGACGTCATAATCAATTTCAACTTTCTTTTTCCCGTACTCTACGGCTCTAATAGAATTATGTAGAAAATAAAGTATTTTCATGGAATTCAATTTGAAATCATGTGAAAAGTAATCCCGATACCTGTATTCAATTTAATATTTTTTTAAAGAAGAGGCCAAGAACATACAAATTGCCGTTTTCTGAGAGACTGTAGGCAATCTGGATACATTTCCTTTGTCTGATATGGAAAAAACTCCCATATTCATGACTGTTTTCTTAATTTTTCATTGAAAATGACAGTGTAAAATATGATTTTTTCGTCTTGTTTATCTACAAAGTATGCCCCGAAACACCTTATTTGACCAAGCTTAAGTTATAAAGCATCATTAAAGGAATTGATTTCTCAAATTTGAGAAATCTGTAGGCACCTTTCATTTACTAGATCTTGACCTTAATATCACATGGTATAAAAAATGCAATTATTTCAGATGCCTGGATATCTTTACTTCTATTCTGAAATATAATTAGGATCAATTTCCGACTAGAAAATGCATAGTTTGTGTTTTTATTTGCATTTCCTGAAGAGGTATTTTTGTAATTTTTTCCAATATAATATGGTCAACTACATTGATGAATTTTGAAGAAAATTACATTTGTTTTTACTCATTACTAGTATTTTGTGAGTTCAGTGACATTTTTGTGATAAATTTCAGTTATTCAACTGCTGACTTTTAGAATATGAGTGACGACAACCTTCAAGCACAGATTATGATTAATCATTATCAGTATGTGAATATTGATTAATTAGGCCTATGAAGTTAAAATTTGTAGCTTAATAATATAATATAATAATTAATTAGATACCTATGATAATGATGCCCTTCCTTGCACGAGTAAGGGCCACGTTTATCTGGTGTTCATCTGTAATGAAACCCAGGTTTCTCTTGCGCCATCCTAGAGATGGATTAGGTTCTATTCTGTAGTCAGGGAGGGATCTGACCGTGCTGAATATGACATAGTCCCACTCACCACCTGATAATGCAGAAGGAAAATATATTTTGCAAGGTACTCTAGTTTGCATGTTAACACATTTGAAAAAAAAATACCTTGACTGGAAACAACTGTGTGAACTTTGGAATTAATGAAACCTTTCTTCAGAAGGGCTTCGCGGATTGCAAAGCATTGTGCATTGTACTGTGACATTACTTTGACATGTTGTGTTTGTATTCCTTTATGCGACATCAGAAACTCATACACTCTCACCTGTGGAAAACAAAAAAAAAATTATTTATTGCATGGAAAAATTCATCTACATGTATCACATTGCAGAGAAGCACAGTTTTTGGATTCATTTAAATACAAGTACAGATATAAAAACATTTTTTGTAGTTCACAGCACTCATAATTTTGAGATTTTTTTCAAACATTAAAGAACTTCATTCGCAGAAACATTATTTTGTAAAGGTGATTAATGCACATAAAACATAATGTTATTAAATATTATTCAGGTTTTTTTGGTTAGGGAAGTATTTTAAATTATCGAAGCCATTTTTAAATTTGCTTTAAATTTAAGATTTCGTGGGATGGAAATTTCACAGAAGTGATATCAATGAAGGATAACGCATATTTTTTCTATATTCTTTAAGATCTTAAATTCGCAGGAAATATCCACGTTTTATGAACTTCCACAAAAAATAATTAGTTAACAGAAATTTTGTTTAATTAACAAACGAATATTTCGATTAGAAATGATTTGAAATTGAATTGTCCTACCACGTGTTCCACTTCTGCCTTGTTGCTTCTCGATTGCTGGTTTCCCTCTTCCGTGGATACTGCCAGGCATTCTTCTTCTCCTTCCATGTGACAAAACAAGAGGGGTGTGTGTGGATTTCTCCATATTTTTAAAGGTTCCTTGACTTCATATTTTTTTGAAGGTCCAGTTTTAAGTTTTCCCTTGTAAAACTGTTTGGATGGAAACTCACAAATTTTTTCATTCTGAAAAATGAAAATCAAATATATCATTTAGTTTGATATTACGTTGTCAGATATCTTCGTTTATAACAACAGCAAAAAATATCCAGTAGTTGAAAGTAAAAATCAACTAGAACTATCCAGAATGGACAAATATCCCCCTCTGGGTTTTTCAGAGAAGGTGTCAAGTCACCAATACTAATATTTAATGGATCTAAGAGGTGTTCCCATTTTATTTAAACATTTAAAGTGAAAATTTACCGGTAATTGCTCATTATATTTTTTAATGAATGAAACTAAGGCGCAGTCTAGTAAACATCAATACTAATAATAACATCGTTTGTTATTACATTGAAAAGATAAAAAAACAATTTTCCAAGTATTTCTCTATTGAAAAATATGGATGCATTATTTATCTATCTTTTCTACAGTGACTAAATGTCAAGATCATGACACACCCTTAGGTCATAAGCAATCTTTGTGTGAAGTGGAAACTCCCAACACCCCAACATTATTCTCCATAAGAAAGAATTATGAACTTTTTCTGCCGGTGGCCTTGAACTTGCCTTGGGTCAAGGACATGTCACACCCTCAGATCATAGGCAATCTTTGTGTAAAATGGAAACTCACCAAGTTTATCCATAAGAAAGATATGGACTGGACACGAATGATGAACTTTTTCTGACAGTGACCTTGTATTTGCCCAAATGACCTTGGGTCAAGATCATGACACACCTTCAGGTCATAAGCAATCTTTGTGTAAAATGGGAACTCACCAAGTTTATGCATAAGAAAGATACGGACCGGACACGAATTATAAACTTTCTTTCAGTGACCTTGAAGTTGCCCAAATGATATTGGGTCAAGGTCATGACACACCCTCAGGTTACGAACAATATTTGTATGAAGTAGTACATTCTAATGGTCCTTTGTAACAAAGATATGGACCGGACACGTTTACACAGACAGACAGACAGAGAGACGGACAAGGTGATTCCTATATACCCCCAAATTTGTTTGCAGGGGGTATAATAATATATAAACTAACCATTCTGTACTGGGTGTCTAAAAACACAGCATTGTCTGCAAAACGTTCAAAAAGAGATTTTGACAGTCCTAGTTCAGCCGCCTCTTGACAAATGATGATTGGTTGAAGTTGTTTGTGATCACCAATTAGAACAACTTGTTCTGCTTTTGTAGCAATAATTGGAGCCATGGTTTCTGGTTCGGTACACATCCCTGCCTCATCAATAATTAGCTGATATATCTTACCCTCAGTGGCTTTAAGAAATTTTTGGTTTGTTGCAACTGCAGTTGTGCAAAAAATGACATCATAATGTTTGAGCTCCTCCTGTGTTGCATCTGAAAGTACTTTTCTGTACTCATTAACTAATTCTGGATCAAAATATATACCGTTTGGATTTTCTTTGAAGAGTTTATCAAACTGTTTGATTTTTTCAGCGAATGGTTTATCCTTTTTTCTGATCAAATTATGAAGTGACACTTCTACTAAATCTGAATCCGGTCGATTGTCTTTGCAAGAGGATTGGTTTATATAATCTCTACCAGGAACAGGAAAAACGGTACTTTCTATGGAACTTCCATACATTCTAACCATTTTGGGGCAGAGATCTCGTATATATGTTCTTATCCACCCTATATAGAACGCAAAACTGAGTATTAAAGCGCAACATTATAATGAAAACGTAAAAGTAATCTTGACCTATATGAAATAACTATAGTAATGATAGTAAATGTTCATGAAAAAGAACGAAGAGAAGTTAATACATACGTGCTACTAAATCGACAGACTTATTAGAAGGTCCACAATAAACAACCTGATTATGGTCACCACCGTTTTCTCGGTGCGTTAAATTGATGTTCATGAATAACAAAATAAGCTTGATTCCAGTCAAAGTCTTCCCTGTGCCTAAAACAAACCATAACCTTTTGAATAAAGGAAAATAATCAATGAACTTTTTATTCTGTTTAGATCTTCACCTCTGGCATATTCCTTTTTCTCTCAAGTCAAAGTGCCTTGAGTGTTTGATAAGTTTAGCTTTGTTTTTACTTGACATATGAGCTGTCTTTTCCTTAACCCCCCCCCCCCCCCCAAAAAAAAAAAAAAAAGAAACTAAACAAAACAAAACAAAAAACAAACAAGCAAAAGAGAAAAGAAAAAAAAAACCAAAATACAAACAAACAAAAAAAAAAAAATACGCAAGGTACCTTACCTACTGATAAATTTTCAAGATATTCTTAATTTAAGATTACAGTGCCATCAGATGTTCATAGACAAAAAAGCATTATCAGGGGTTTTGAAAAGATATCAATTGATAAAAATTCTTGTATAATTCAAAGAAAAATATGCAAAAATTACTAAACATATGTTTATCCAAATTTGTTTTAAAAGAAATGTACAACAGCATATACAGACATTAAAATGTAGCACACAGTTCCTTTAAGTATTGGAACTCTTCAACTCCAGGGAAAAAGACAATAAAGTTCAAACTACGTTGCGTATGTCCTTAAGAGTCACCAGAGTATAATCAACACTGTAAAGGATCCATAGGGATCAACAAAAATAATAAGTCTAGTACTCGGTGACAAATCTTACAGTAGAGCTATCTACTTGCCTGTACTTACCTCCATTTATCACTAGCATCATGCAAACTAAACAAAAACAATAGTACTTGACCACTAGTATTAAACCCATCTCATTCCCTCTCACATTGGATTCTCTTGTTCTTTGAAGAACATTAAATATATTCAAAGATAGGTATTTTGTCTCATTTTCATTTATCTATTATTTACAAATTTGCGTAACCATTAAAAGAAATGAAAGTACTTTTTGTATTATATATTATAAAAATTCTTGTATAATTCTCTTATTCAGTTGACCTTTCAATGACATTATTTATAATGCTTAATTATCATAGGAGATGTGGTAAAAATACCCTTGCTTATTACAACTTTGTACTTTATTTTCCCAGGGGCAATGCAGATTTTCAAAGAAATAATGTATTTTCACTAAAGTTTAACAAAATCACACCCAAATTCCCAGTCCCAGGGCTTTGAAATTTATGATTTTGAAAAAGCAAACTTGCTCATCACTACTATTTACCTAGTTTTCCTGCTAGATACCTAAGAGCACAGAAGAAGAATTTAAAGAATTAATGGATTTTCACTATATAAACAATAGAGCCCCGCCCTAACATCAGAGCCCCTGACACATAATTTTGGAAAAAGTACCCCAAAGGCAGAGAAGATTTTTACAGAAATAATGCATTTTCACTATATATTCAACAGAGCCCCGCCCTAGCACAAAAAACTCCGGACTCAGGGACTATGAATTTCATAATTTAGAAGAGGCATCATTGCTAATTAAAACCACGTAAATGGTTTTTTTCTGCTAAATACCAAAGGACAAAGAAGATATTTAAAATATTTATGCATTTCACTATCTGATCTATAGAGCCCAACACTAAAATAGAACCCTTGACCCTGATCCATGAAATTCACAATTTTGGAAGAGGCACCCTTGCTCAACTTAACCATGCACTTACTTTTTTCCCTTTATACCCAGGAGCAGATATTTTCAAACAGATAATACATTTTCACTATAACATCAATAAATCACCCACCACCCACCCCCACCCCTTAGAACCCCTGACCAAGGGACCAGGAAATTCACAATTTCGGAAGAGGTACCCTTCCTCATCATAACCATGCAACTTAGATTTTTTCCTAAATAATCAGAAGTATAGAAGAAGATTTTTAAAGAAATAATGCAATTTCACTTTATAATCATTAAAACCCCGTCCTAACACCAGAACCATCTATCCAAGGGCTATGAAATTCACAACTTTTAAAGAAGTACCTTTGCTCATCATAACTAGTACTTAGGTTGCTGCTTAATACCTTTTAGCAGAGAAAAATATTTTTAAAGAAATATTGCAGTTTAACTATATAATCAATAGATCCCCACCCCACCAGAATCCCTGACCCTAGGGCCACAAATTTTGGAAGAAGCACCCTTGATAATCATATCCATACACCTAGTTTATCTGCTAAATATACAGGGAGAGAGAAGAGGAATTTTGAAGAATTTATGCATTTTTACTATATGATCATTAGAGTCCCACCTTTACTGCAGAACCCCTGACGCTTGGGCCATGAATTTCACAATTTTGGTAGGGGCTCAATGCTTGTTACAACAATAGCAACAGTTCTACTGCTTGTTGTCCAGGAGTAAAGACGATGATTTTTAAAGATTGTATTAATTTGATGGTTTTATCCCCAACCCTCGGGCCCCAGGGGGCTGGGACCATGAAATTCACAATTTTTATTCCCTATTACTCATAGATCTTATACATGTATGTCAAAATTGGTTGAAATTTTGTCAGTGGTTCTAATGTTCAGGTGAGCTAATAAACAAAATATGCCCTAAAACAAAATACCCCTAGTTTGTCTAATCTATACTTATAAATTAATAAATTTTGCAAATAAACTCCGAAACGGGTGCAAAAGAGTTCTTACTTCTCCTCTAACAATACACTAGATACAAGATGATGTCCGTAAACTATATTCAGATTTCACTCTCATAGTAAGTATTGTACATTAAATTAAAAGTCTACTTTCATTTTCTATAAACAGCCATGAAATAGTAAAAACGTGAGTACGGTGGTGTTTCCGGTTGGCGGATCTAAGTTACTGGCAATTTTTAATGACACTGACAACAAGCAGTCGTTTATTTATTTCATAAAACGTCGTCACTGAATTATTCGATCAAAACTTGATTTAAATGATATAAAAGAAATAAGTTGTGATGCCCGATTAAAAAGGGAAATGTGCAAATTATTTTCGCCATTCACCGATCTTTATATTGACGGAAGCTTCTAGAACATCATATAGCATCGGGTCCGATGTTAAAAAGAAAAATTAGGCGACTGCATAAATAAAAAAAAAGCTTTAGTGTGAATGGTCATTGAAATAATGGTAAATCATTGATAACACTATTAGTTCACATTTGTGAATATATTTATATATCGAAAGACTATTATATATACATGTATGTAGTAGGTTTTCCTAATAAATTTATCGGTAAAATTTGTATAGGCTATATTCCTTACTGAGAGCATCGTGGCAACGAACCCCAAGTACAATTTGTATTTCGTAATAAACTTGCTTACATGAAAAGAGAAAATTAATGAATAAGATATTGTTCAAATACAATTAAAGATGTAAAATTTTGTGTTTTAATCAATACATTCCAGTTTTTTTTTTTAATACAGTCTTTTGTATCAAATACTCGGCCTATTCATAGGGCGTTAAATTAAAAGCCCATTTTTACACAGGTACTTGGGTTTTGGTTTATAAATACGTATGTACCTTATTGATATGTAAAAAAAAAGTAAAGTACATTTTTTACATATCAACAAGGTACAAACATATTCAAGTTATAAACCAAGACCCAAGTACCTGTGAAATTTTACCCCCCCCCCCCAAAAAAAAATCAATTAATCAGTAAAATGTGCATATTCCCTGCTTTTATCCTTGACGGAAATGAAATGAGAGCATCTGAAGTACAATATCCGTAACATAGTATAAAAGGTGTCACAATAAACGTCAATTAATGAAATTGTTATTTTTCAAGTTTTTACAAAAAAGAGGGGGATGGAGACGTACATCTACTTCATTCGGGATTTTGAACAAAGTATTTCTTCCTGCTATAAGCCTGTAGACTGTTAATAGTAGAAACTACAATATATTTACAGTCGGTAGTGGTATAAATTCAATTTCCCGCTTGCGCGGGATTTCATCTAGTACATTATAACGTAGATCTATTTACTTGCCACTCCTAATACACTCCCATTCGTCATTATCATCATGCAGACTAAATAATACAACAGTGCTTGATAACTTGGAGTAAAACACTTCATATTACCTCACACATAGTCTTCTCTTGTTCTTTGAAAAATATATAATGTACAAAGATAAGGTTTTTTGTCTCAAATTTTACAATTACATTATTTACAGTAATTAATTATCAAAGTTGAATAGCAAAGGGTAATAAATTCTCTCGGTAAAGTATAATAAAGTATATTTCCCTACAACATCAATAGAGCTCGGCTCTGCAGAAGAACAGTCGACCCATTGATCCAGAGTTTCAAAAATCTGGTAAAAATACCCTTGCTCATTACAACTTTGTACTCTGCTTCCTAGATGCCAATGAGCAGAGAAGATTTTTGAAGCATTAATACATTTTCACAATATAATCAATAGGGTCCCTTCCTAACACCAAAACTCCTGACCTAGGGGATTTAACTTTAACAACTTTGGAAGAGGCACCCTTGCTCATAATAATCATACACTTTGTTTGCTTAATATCCAGGAGCAGAGAAGAAGATTGTCAAAGAAAAAAAGTGCATTTCGAATGTATTATCAATAGAGCCCCGCCCTAATACCAGAACCCCTGACCCAGGGGCCCTAAATTTCACATTTTTGAAAAAAGCATCCTTGCTCATCATTACTAAGTACTTTGTTTGCATTTTACCCATTTTCAAAGAAATAATGCATTTTTATTACTAGTATATGATCAAATGAACCCCATCCCAGCGCCAGAACCCCTAAGCCACGGACCATGACTTTCACGATTTTGGAAGAGGCACCCTTATTCATTATTACCATGCACTTAGATTGTCTGCTAAATATACGCTTGGAGAAAAGAAACTTTTTAAAAAAAATATTCACTATATCATCAAGGAGTCCATCCCTAACCCTACCATAGCTCAGTTCTTATTACAATCATCTCAATAGTTTAATTATTTGATGTCAAGGATTTTTTTACAGATTGAATTTATTTTGATGGTTTTAGTCCCACCCAGGGCTCAGGCCCCAGGGGAGACAAGAATCAAGAAATTTAACACTTTTGGTTCCCTTTACCCACAGATGCTATATACATGTAAGAAATTGATTGAAATTGGTTCAGTGGTTCCAGAGAAGAAGCGGAAAATGTTCAAATGTCAACGCACGACCAACGACCATAGACGAAAACGGATAGCAATAGGTAATCTCTGTGACTCAGAGGACGTAATAAAATGCAAATATACAACCCGTTCTCATTTAAATCATGCAAAAATGTAGGAGTAATCTATAGTAACTGGCCATAAGTCTTCATAAAAATGGCTGCCGAAGTATCAAACCTCAGAAAGCCATTTTTTTGGGTAAATAAATCCCTCTAAACAAGCCGCTGTTGAATAGTTCCTTTCTATAGGGTGAGTTAACCATGCATCGGACACATACCTTGCTTCGGACAACTTTAAGCAATAAACTTTCATTGAACCTGAGTCTCCCTGTGTTTTTACTTGTTTCTGTTTTAAAGTTGAAGATTTAAACTTTTAAATGATGCCGATTTTTTATTTTCATGTTGTGATAAAAATACCACAAGAATGGCCTTGAAATTACGTCATATTTTGCATCATCAAATGGGAGTAACCAGAAATTTACGATTTTGCGATTTTTAGAGTTGTCGCTCTTTTAAATAGATTTCAACGGAACGAGTCAGGTCTAGGTAAAATTTGTCAACGATTGATAATTTTACAGAAATTTTTCAAAAATTCTACTTCAATGTTTGTATAATAATTTTTAGAGTTGTTTTTTACTAGCTTGTTTATTTCACCGTACATCGGACACAAATTAACCATGCATCAGACACTTTCCGATGCATGGGTAATCACTTCCATTTTCATATAAAACCCAAATGACAGTTGCTTTTTACGGAAATAGAAAATAAAAACTCTGACCTCTAAGTGAAAATACAATTATAGATATAAGACGACTAGAAGTGGACTCAATTTATTTCTTTAAATTAGATGATGATAACCCACGAGACAAAGGCGCGAGTTGCCATATTACTAGCATTGTAAAGCCTTTCTAAGGCGATGTGATGTACCTAAAATCTCTTTACATTTGTGGATCAAAATAGTCATTCAAATTTAACTAGAAGTTTAATTTTTTAATAAAAGATAAAAATGTTTCGATATCACTAATTTTAAAGCACCGAGATCAAGGTATGATATTTTTCAGGTTTAAATACCGTATGTCCGATGGATGGTGAATATTGTCCGATCCATGGTGAATTCTGACTTATTTCGAAAAAATCGTGTTTTAATGGTATTTTCCCCAGTATATAGGCTAGCACATGATTGTGTCAAAAATTTATATCTTAACCACATACTACATATTAAGTTCCATTTAGATAATATTCGGTCGGTAGCGATACCGCTAGAACTTGTTGAAGTGCGAGGGCGTCCGATGCATGGTGAATTCACCCTAGAGTGTATACAATAATTTAACGACACCTTATAAAAGTGACGTATTATCTGTCAAATATTTAGCAAATGCAAGATGGCTACTAAAGGTAAACAAATGTCTACCCCTACCCCAATGAAAAATGCTATAATAACTTTCTTTGAGAGTGGATATACCCACCAGGACATTGCTACTATTCTTTGTGTGAGCCAGTCTGGGATTTCCAAGTTTCTTAAGCGATACAAGATGCGCGGATCCAGTGAAATAAGCATCGAAGCGGACGCCCTAGAAAAACTGATGTACGAGGTGATCGTAAGATACTACGATGTGTGAAACTCAACAGACGGCAAACTCTGTCGGAAATAACTGATGAAGTGAACTCAAAATTACCAAGTTCCATCTGTTCACGGACAGTAAGAAGACGTTTGCGATTTTTTAACTTTACAAGAAGGAAAACCAGGAAGACCCTGACAATTCGGTCTGTAAACCGCACTCGCCCTGTAAATTGGTGTCGAGGTAAATAACATTGGACAGTGAATAATAATTGGAAAAGGTGATTTTCAGCGATGAAACTCAGGTTGTGATTGATCAGAATACGCGAGTTTACATCTAGAGAAGACCGGACGAAGTATTGCGACCTGAGTGTCTTGGCGTAAATACTTGGCGATGCTTTGGGGGTGTATTACTCATGAAGGAGTCGGAACATTTACAGAAGTCGATGGGAATATTAATTCCCCAAAATACATAAACATTTTGGATACAAATGTATGGCCTGTTATTTTGCGTCACTTCCCGAATGGTGACTATTTATTCCAGGACGAAGACCGGTTCACTCCACTCATAAACGCCACGAAATTATGGAAAACCGAAAACGAAATTAAATGTCTAACTTGGCCATCACAATTTTCAGATATAAATTTAATTGAAAATGTGTGGAGAACCATAAAATATGAGTTCAGAGACAGGTACACAATATTTATAATCTTGAAGACCTTATACCTTATCATGAAATTTAAGGAAATATGGCGGTCACTGCCTCAGCACTACATTCAGAGCCTGTATGCTTCAATTCCAAGGCGAATCCGACAAGTTATTAAAACTAAGGGTCAAGCAACTAAATACTAGAGATAAAAGGGTAATCACTTAATATTTATAAAGTTATTTTATTTTTGAATTTACGTTTACGTTGTTCACGTTACGTTACGTCAGCCATTTTATTACAGACTTATGGCCAGGTACTGTACATCTTAATTCTACATCAGACATCAACGGATGAACAGGCTGAATATGTATAATCATAAATATTGCATGGAATCGATCCTAGGGCTTTCCACAGGAAAACGAAAATACCAATTACATGATAAATATTACAGAACTATCACAAACAATATTCGGAATAATTGAAAAAGCACTTACCAGGTGGTCCTTGTATGAGAGTAAATCTTGAACATAAAGCCTTTTTTATAGCTTCTAGCTGTTTTTCGTTGTTGGGCTGCAAAGAGTCGTGTATCACGTCCGGTCTAATTTGTTTTCCCAGTCTTACATGGACATCGTCTGTAATATAAAGTTTAAAAACATCTTATTATTGATGATTACAACAATAAAATTTCAAATTTTTCTTCAAATTGTAGTGGGACAAAACCAACTGATTACCTAGAGAATGAATTTCTCCTCTCAGAGCTATCGATTTCGCAAGCTCTTTTCCTGACTCTAATCCCTTAACAGCATCCTCAATATTCCTGAAAGGATATATATATATATATATATATATATATATATATATATATATATATATATATATATATATATATATATATATATATATATATATATAAGGGATGTAAACTAGTATCCGGTTAACCGGGTACTCGATCGAACGTCCAATTATCAAATAAAACTCGATTACTCGGATGTAGATTTTTTTTTTATCATATTTCAAAGTGCATATATTTATTAAAACTTATCAAAAAATTTTGATTTAAATATGCCTTGTCCATGTCTATACAGTAATCACCTACACTAGTTTATACCCGCTATCGCCTGTGTACATGTTTATACAATTACCGTGACCAATCACTGGACACTGTAAAAAGCTGTTCTCACATCTTGTGACCCTAATATTTGGATGGTTTCAATTATTTATTTTCAATAAACATGGTTCAATTATGATACATTAATTATCCTTGGATTATTTAATTAGAATACGGTAGCGAAATCGGACATATTAAAAAATAACCGAAGATTAAAAAATATATATTAAAAGTCACCTGTGCATAGTTTTAAGTAATCACTTTTTAGTTGGTTGGGTATGCCAGGGCTTCAAAGGCAGTTGAAAACGTGGGATAATTTATGCATCACGGGTGAAGTTGTAAATATCGAGAAATCAACATACTTTCAGAGTTAACACAGAGAAACATTTGGAAAGATAAATAATATACGACTCGTGATCACAACAACGTCCATTCCCAAAGATATTTTCTTTCGATAGTCTAATCATTACAAAGTTGCATCCTTCTCTTCCGTTGATTAAATTGTCTTCCGTAAAGCATTTGTATTAATTGGTCGTCTTTTGTGTTTGATACATAAATTAAGTACCAAAAATTGTTTTTGTTGGGCTCGATGTTTATGTACATACATTAAAAACGAAAGAAAACATCGATGAAGTACACAGGTCTTAATAAAATCAACAAACGTTTACATGTATATATGCACTTTTTCCGAGTACCCGGGTACTCGATCGGAAAATTGTCCGAGTAACTGATTATCAAATATTGACCGATTTAACATCCCTTATATATATATATATATATATATATATATATATATATATATATATATATATATATATTCTTTTTTTCTATTTAACGCCATTTATCTAATAGGTTTCCGATTCATTATTTCATTGGAAGATCTTACTTATCTGCTTCAGACATTTGAAGTATTTCAACGGCACATGTTGGATTGCCGGAATCTATCATAGAAAGACTTGGTTTTGGACTGTCTCTATGCAGTTTAAAATGAACTTTAACGTCTCCATTTTCTCTACCCTTTTGACAAAATTTTGTTTCTCCATGACCAATCCATATCCTTCGTTCTTCTGGTGAACATGCAATACTTGGTCGCGAAGGAACACCCTTTACTAGCTCGCATCGAATGCAAAGAAAATCCGTTTGGTCAGAAACTGTGTTTTCTGAATTGTTCTCAACGTGCCAACGAAAATCTATATCTCTTTGAAGACAAAAATGTTTCAAAAGTACAAAAGAACCGTCATATTTCTTGCCTGTGTAAAACTTAACATGCAAATCGTTTATAACTATTGATAAAGATTTAGTTGCATTGGTAACTGATTCCATTCGAAATATGTTCAACCAACGACTCACATATTCGGGTGATGTCATTTTTCTGTTGCCTTCGTGCATTTTGGCATAAGAAGAGAAACATTGTACTGGATCAGACATGTGTTGAATACAGCATTTAAGATTCCTTGTAATTTCTAACAGCTGAATAGATGGCATCAACATTCCCTTACTGCGTTCTACTCCGATTTGAATAGGAATGACTTGAGCTTTGCTAAAGGTGAGTTTGAACTCCGTATATTGTTTTCCAATCACGCCATCTTTTGTTTCAGAGCTTGCATCAGAATGTGTACCTTGACACTCAAAAACACTTGGTAGATCCTCATTCCCCTCAAAAATCTTCTTATTCAACAAATTCATATCATCTCTGATAAGAGAATCTACGAGCTTTTTCCATTTTTTCAAGGACACATAGGTTACTTTTTGATGTGGATTTAAACATACTGGTCCTCCTATAGAATTAGAGGCACCTGCAGAAAATCCCAGTGTTGAATACAAACGCTGTTGCCATGACAGGGTAAGTAAATGCTTTTTATCACAATCTTCCTCTAAAAGTGGTTTTGACTTTAACTTCATTAGATGGTAATTAATTTCACCACACGAATTTGCTAGCTCACTTTGGCCGGGAAAACAAATGGAAACAGATTTTTCTGATGCCGACTTGACCAAGGTATGTAAAATGACTGGCTGTCTTTCGAGTTGCCTTCCAAGATGCAGCAATCGACATTTCCTTTCAAATTCTCGAGGTCGACTTCTGTTGACATTTTTGCATATCATTTCAACTTCTCTTTGAGAGTAGGGTGACACTTTATTGTCAAGCAGTGCATGAACCAATCGATTTGCAATCAAATCTGCATAACGTCGGATTGGAGAAGTAAAGTGTACATAAGGATAAATGCCTAGAGAAAAATGTATTTTCTCGTGAGGTGATCCAGAACATTCATAACGTGAAGTCTCTTGAAATGACATCCATGAGTCATAAGCAGATGCTTGTTGTGGATGGAATTCATCGGTACCTATGAATCTCTGTAAATTCTTAAAGTCTCCCTTGCTATAACTTGAAACTATTTTGTTCCAAACATGCTTTTGTATTGGTAGTTGTTGAGACATTTGGTGTTCATGAATTTTATCAACAGACAATATTTTACCATTTTCAAGACATTTATGTTGAAGCGAAAGTACGAAATTCGCAATGACGGAAAAATTCAAAAGCCATTCATTCATTCTATGGGAAGATGGCTTACTTTGAACACGAAGAGGTATACAATCTGGAAATGCCTCGATTAATATTTTGCCAATAAATTGGTTTGCAAGAATCATGCATTCTTCTACTATAATATGTGCATCGATACTTTGAAAATATGATTTACTGCATTCAGTATCAGGTGATTCAAATGGAAATGAAAACATTCCATTTCCTAGTCGCTTAGACCGTATTTGTTTGGTAAAAGCAGATAAAATTTCCAATTCTTGTTTAAAGTTTTCGTTTTTATTTGCTTTTGATAATAATTTTTGCACTTCCAGATATGTGAAGCGTCGCCTAGACTTAATTTTTGTGCGGTCCAGCCTTTGTTCCAAGATATTTCCATCCTTATCTATTCTGAAAAAAATTGAAAGAGTTTTTCTCTCCTGGTGAGGCAAAAGACTACAAATATCTGTTCCTAAAGGCTCTGGGAGCATATGAAATGGTTGACAGTTTTCCCCTGGATAGAAAGTATTTGATCTTTCCAGTGCCTCTACATCAACAGGATCATCCCTCTTTACAACACTGCCAACATCTGCAATATGGACTCCGATTTCAAATTCTGTTTCTGAGATAGTCTGTACACTGAGAGCATCATCTAGATCTTTTGAATCACTTTCATCGATTGTAAAAGCATTGAGACTCTCGGAAAAATCTGTTCTATGTTCATCGCCGTTCAGATGTGCCTTTCGTTTTAAGATCTTTTCCACTTCACGGACTGTACTTTCTTTGTATATTACAGAAACATTGCTCTGCAGACAAACCAGTTTAAGAGAGGTATTTAAGTCACATCTAAAATCGTACACTCCTATAATGGCTCCCTTTGGATAAATTTCATTCCAAGCAATGAAACACACCAGAAAAGTGTATCCTTTTCTTTTTGATCGATGTATTGTTTTCAGTCGATCGAATTTTAAGTCTTTTGCTCTTTTGTCGTATTTGTAAATTTCTACTTGAAATTTTGTTTTTTGTCTCTCATTAAGAACATGAATTTTTGGAACCGTTTTACATACAGGTTTCATAAGATGCATCACATATTGATCAATGGTACAAACAAAGACGGGGTTCTTGGGCAATGTTTCATTTCTCTTCGTTATTCCAACAATTTTTCCGAATGATTTATTCTCATTCTCTTTAGAAAACGTTGCAGATTGTATTGAACAATCAGCTTGTTTTTCACGATTTTTTAGAATTTCAACAACAACTTCATCTTGATTGAAGGCCTTTCCACATTTAGACCGCCCTGATATTTCAATTTCTATGTCTTCATCAAGAGACGAACAAAGTGCCCTGTGGGGATTAAAAATTTTTATTTTGCAATGTTTGTACTTCTGAGGAAAGTTTTTACACAGCTGAAGACTTTCATTTGCACTCAGCATTTCCTCATAAATTTGTGGTTGTTTTTTCCTGGAGGAATTTATGAATCTTTTCGATAAATCAAGGCCATTGGTTAATAAGTTTTCATCATTATTTCTGTCCCGATGCTTATTTTGGTAAAATTTGCGCGATTCTTCGTAATAATTTTTCTTTTTTGATTCTGTTTCATGTTGTGACCCGCTGGAATTTTTCTTTGCTGAAAATTCCTCATCGGTTTCAGAGTCCATGTCATTCTCTTCTGACATTTCGGATGATAACGAGTCAAAATCATCCTCAAGTAAAGCCGTTGAATCGGTTACGTCAGTTGCTTTCTGAAGCCTAAACCGCACATCAGAATGTTTTTCCTTATGTATTTGTTGCCGATGTTGAGAACTTTCCACTTCATGATGCATCTTATGAAGTCTTTGTTCTCTGCTTCGATCTTTTCTTGTGGATAAATTAAATTTGGTAGAGTCATCTATGCTTCCATTTTGTCTTTTCTCATCAGCGATTGTTTTAAGAATACTGTGATCTTCATTGTCGATCAGAGAGTCAAAACTGTAATCAAGTCGACTATCACTGTTTCTTCTTTTAGCTGGAAAAAGTGTATTTACTGAAATACTTTGAAACATTTTGATATTGCTTTGAAGAATAACGATTTTGCTAATTAGACATACTTACGCCTGCTTCTTTGTTTTTTCTTCTTGGGTGTCATGTTCTCAGAAATCCTTGACAATTGTGACTGAAACATTACATATTACAATAAATATAGATTTTATTCTGCTGTATATGAAAATTCCAAAATGAGGACAAGGGAGTGAAATATTATATACCTCATGAAATTCATAAGCATATGTGCCTTTTAACCATTCTGTATCCGGTTTATGGTTGTTTCTGGAGGATTGCTGCAGTTCCCTCTGATGCTGAGGTATTTCTTGTTTCGGTTCCTATTGAAAATTCTTCATGTTTGTATCTAATTTATTTTTATATCAAAGTTGTAATAGTCGATAAATAGCATGATTTGAATTTTTCTGTAAAATATTCTTCCTGAAAATCTATGATTGGATCTGCAAGTGTGAAAGATTAGAAGTTACCTCATCTTTTACTTCGTATGTCCTTCCAAGGTGTGCACCCATTTCTCAAACTGTTTTTAAGTTCATAGACCTGAAGGTATAATCACTTTAAAATAGGTATGTTGTCTTTATTTTGTCTTGCAAATAATTAAAACAACGAGAAATTGGAAATTGGAAAAATGTAATATTCGATATTTCATAGACTGATTGTATTTTTTGAAAATTATGCAATTAATAGTAGAGAAAAATAGCACCGCCTTGAGATTTGCCTGGTGTTTGCACCCCTGTCAATCAGCTAAAATTAATCCTAGAATTCTAGACATCGATAAACATTTAGGTTATTTGTCGTTCTGTATATATCTTTTATACCATGTCTGGCGATCGTAGTGACTGTCGTATAGCAGTGTTCATGATTTTTTAAAATACATGTATAATATAAAATATGTTTTATGTAAAATCAATTTGTCAAATAATTTAATAAGGGATTAGAAAATCATGCTTTGGAGCCCTGTAAGCTGCAATATTCTTTTTTGGGGGTGGGGGCACAACCAAACATTTTCAATTTGGATTGGCACTACCAAGCAAACATTCTTTGACAAGCAAAAAAAGACCTCCATAAAGTAACTCTTTTTAATTATTCTTTTTTATACATTGAAAAAAAATTGACCTCACAATCAATAGGGGTCTTCTTTAGTCCATAGGCAGTAGTGGAATAAAATTTCATTGCAAAAGCTCAAAGGCTTCTTGAGATATCGTCTGGAAACGAAAATCTTACACACAGACAGAATGACAGTCAGACAAATAGAAGGGGCCAAATTAATATCCCCAGCTTTCACTTCAGTGAAAGTGGGGGACAAAAAAGAATCGATACAACTTAAGAACGTTTGCATTTTAATACGACTTAGTATGACCATGCTTTTTCCTTTTAAACTTTGATCTTTTAATGTAGCCCGCCATAACCCCGGGGTCATGATTTGAACAAATTTTAATCTTTTTCTTTGTGAGGAATATTTCATATTAGTTTCCTCATTTTTGATCCAGTTGTTCTTAGATGATGATTTGAAAATGACCCACCCAGTTATATATTGTTTCTGTTTTGTTTATTTCAATCTTTAAATTTTTGCAAATTAGTTTTTTTTTTCCATTCTTCTCTTCACAGCATTTGGGTATCAAATTTTGGAATTTATCTCCGGAAATTATGTTACGAAATTAAGTTCAATCGTTCCTCGAGTCTTTCGACTTCACACAAATTCAATATAAATCATTACTCTCATTGTTTAGGCAAACAACTTTTAATTCCTTTTCAGCATGTCAATAAAAAGTAATCCAACATTCAAACTCCTGAAGAAACAACACCAAAAATCAATCAAAACTAAACACTGTGTTTCAAATTTACAGACCTACCTAAAGTGTGACATTATACCTAAAGGTTTCCAGATAATGACACGCCTAACATAGGGTCAATCTACAACCGCTTTCAAAAAATAAAAACCCGCTGTCAATTTATTAAAAGGAGGTGTTCTAGACATTTGATGTCACTCTGTCTTTCTTGGAATATCCACAAGTTACAGCAATTTGAGAGTGATATCACGTCCTTAGAATCATCCCTCACTGATAGCATGTCCCAAGCTAACCTTGATGAAGCCCATAGTATTATTGCCACCAACAATATGGCCCTAACCAATGATCTCAACAAAATTCAAAAGAAGAAATTTCTCCGAGACAGTGTTCCACAGACCAGAAACAACTGGACAGAGGTCAGAGTTAACCAATCACGTAAACCTCGCTCTAGACGCTTCAAGCGCTAAAATACATTCACGGGGGACGGACCCTTACAAACTCCTGACGTCTGTCCTGTGCTCAATAAATCTAGTGTTCCTCTCTCCGAGTCGGAGACCTCACTTCTTTCTAAGGGGCTGAATTTCTGTCCCACGTCTCATGAGGTCCACGAATAACAAGTCAGAGAGGACACCAGGGCATTCTTTCGGAGACTTCGACTGAAGGAGCACTTCTCTAGAAAAGACTCCGATGATGATTCATACGACTCTTCCCAGCCACAATTGCACGACCTAGAGAAACACAAACTCTATCGGACCAAAAGCAGCTGGAAACCTGCACCGGGCAAATGAGGAGCCCTTGAGTCGTACATTGACGCCTTTGAGTCAGACATTGAGAAACTCCTTTCCATGCCAGACAAGGCCCCCGACAATTTAAGTAAGGAAGAGAGATCCGCCTTACAATCATTAAAGAATCGGGATGACATCGTGATCAAGAAAGCAGACAAAGGCTCTACACTAGTAGTACTTTACAAAGAGACGTACATGGCGGAGGCCCATAGACAACTCTCAGACGAATGTTTCTATAAGAAACTTGACTCTGACCCTACTAGAGAATTCTCCACCGTTATCACCAAAACTCTTGACAAAATGTTCGAAAATAACGAGATTGGTATAAACGTCTATGAGACACCCAATCCTATTGACTGTAGACCAGGACAATTTTCCTGCTTCCTAAGATACAAAAAGGAGGCATGCCAGGTCGCCCTATGGTTAGCGCAATCAGACACCCCACGGAGAAAATTTCTGAATACATTGATTTGCATCTCCGTCCACATGTAGAAAATTTGTCATCCTATCTAAAGGACACCACGTACTATATCGACAAGACGCCCTCGACTGGTCTTCCAGACCATACCCTTCTCGTGACTATGGACGTTACATCTTTGTACAGCAACATTCTGCACGATGAGGGTATCGAGGCCTGTAGAGAAGTCTGGGACAGCAGATAAATACAAACTCCTTTCACTGAGTCCCTTGCCAAGCTCCTTGAACATGCTCTCAAATGTAACAATTTCATGTTTAATGGAGAATATTACCTGCAGGTTAATGGCACTGTTATGGATGCGAGAATGGCCCCATCTTATGCCAATATTTTCATGGGCAGACTGGAACGTAACTTGTTACTTCAAGCACCATTTAGGCCCCTTAGCTGGTTGCGTATAATTTTAAAACATTTTCAAAACCAAGGTACCCCAGTTCAAGTTGATGAAGATTTCAGTGAAAAAGTAAACAAATATGTAAATAAATCTAACAGCATTTTAAAAGAAAGAGAAATAACAGACAAGCACTTTACAATTCAGGAAGTAAAGAGTAGTAATCGAAATCTAAAAATGGGAAAAGTGCAGGGCCAGATAGAATTACAAATGAGATAATAAAATATAGTAGCATAGTTACTTGAAAATCAGTAACTAAATTATTTAATCTGACATTGCTGTCTGGCAAGTACCCATCTTCAAGAAATTCATTTACAATTATAATTTATAAATCAGGAAGTCAAACCGATCTTAATAATTAAAGAGGAATATCTCTTTACAACTGTATTGCTAAATTATTTCTCATTGATAAATAACAGGCTTACACTGCATTATGAAACATTATTTGATAATCAACAATGTGGTTTCAGAAAAGAATACAGAACAACAAATAGTACATTTATTCTAAAATCATTAATGCTAAAATACGGTAAAAAATTATTTATTCAATTGTTATATAAATGATCTACACCAGATCTTTGATGAATCATGTCATTCATTATTGCTCAAAGATTCGAAATTATCTAGCCTAAGTTTAAGATTTAATAATCTTGTCAAGTTCACATACGGACTTCAGAATGCACTATCGAAGCTGGAAAATTATTGTTACAAATGGCAATGAACTGTCAACACAAAGAAAAGTTATCTACACCTAAATTATTTCATAAAAATATTCCGTTATATGAAATCAAAGAATATAATTTCTTGGGTAATGTCATAACTTTAATAAAAGCTACCTAAGAATTATCAAAAAAAAATTATTTGAACTCAAAAGGAGATTCTATTCCTGTTAATTCATCATGTAAACTTTTGATAAAACATACAATAAAACTAAGTATTCTATATAAAAAAAAATCAAAAAAGATTTACATGATGTTTACAGTCTAAGGTCTTAAATAAACTTCAATAAAGATTACATCTCTATAGTAAAAACTGATATTAAAATGGAAGAATACCTATTATCAGAAAAAAAAATTACAACCAGGCAGCTAATTTCAAAATTCAGAGTAAGTGACAATTCTTTAGAAAATTGAAAATGGTAGACACAAAAATATTTCAAGAAATCATAGACTTAGTAAACATTGTAATAAATTGGATGATGAATACAATTCTTTCTTGAATGTCAAAAAAACCTTTTTCTCAGAAATCAATTATTTTCTAAAACCAATAATATAAACACTATGTTTGAAAGATTAGCCACTCAGTAAAATGCAACAAATTTTAAATCCAAAATCTGAACTTTTGTTAGCTGTTGGAGACTTTATAAAGCAGTCATTAGAAAAGCAAAAATGAGCTCCATGTCAGTCAAAAGATTTAACATTTTAACATTGTACTTATAATAAAGTCATTTTAAAATGTGTAACTGTATGTCGTATAAATAATTTTTTTATGTAATTTCTTGACCCATATGGGTGTATTATGCAAAAAATAGATAAATATAATGCATGGGAGACGAAAGCAAATTAGAGGTGGAGGATAATTATCTAGATTAAGGGGGGTTACTACTTAGTGAAATTCCAGAGGAGAGGGTTACTATATTAAGACGGACCCCCCCCCCCCCCTCTTAAGAAAATTCTCATTTGAAGGACAAAAATTAAACGTTGTCTTAAAACAATGAAATTATAATAACAATCATATTTTTAAATTTTTACCTTTAGTCACTTCGTCATCTATGATAAACATCATGATAAGATAACATTGCAACCTATTCGAAATCACATGCTATTGAAATGTTTGATACCTAATCACCGAAGTATTTTTGTCTTGTTTCATTTTCGATTTACATTCTCTGAAATACGCATGAATCTACGGAAGCCCATTAGTTCCAACCTGTATATATAAAGGAAAAGCAATATATAAAAGCAAACCTCGATATATAAAGGAAATGCGAAATATAAAAACAAAACCTCGATATATATAAAGGAAACGCGAAATATATAAACAGGACCTCGATATATATAATGGAAACGCG